AGAGTTTTTCTTTTACTTTTCAAGGAGAAAAGTTAATTGGGGGTGGGGGCGGGCAGGGAGAAAAGTGCAACAATTAATGACTGGAAACCCTAGGTCTCTGTAAACTTTTATTAAAATTAATTTTGAAAAAGAGTCAAACCACCAATTTAGGTTGATAACTAAATGTAATTACTTGCATCACTGTGGGAGCCATACCATTGAATGGGGTCTCACTGATAGCTGATCCCCCAGCAGGTTTTCCAAGACTATAAATCAGGTGGGAGGAGACTACCCACTTTTCTCCCTCAGAGCCTCTGGTGGATTTGAACCACCAGAGAGTACTGTCCTTTGGGTGAGCAGCTACCTCTGATCTCCCTAAATATCCATCAAAAAATTTATTTACTCAAAAGAGCAAAATGTAGCCCTCCTTAGGACACCAGCCTTTGGAAGCTGCCAGGGCATGATAGAGACACTGAAGCCAGTGTGTGCTTGCCTGGCAGGTACCGGCTGAGTTCACGTGAGACCCAGCTGTGGGCTTGGATGTGGCACAAGCAGTTCTGGGTCACCCGTTGAGCACAGATTTCCTTGTGCGTATTAATGTGTGGTGAGCAATTTCACACGTTTTGCACCATGTCTTCCTCTTTCCTCATTCTATGAGCCTAAAGCCTCCTGCCCGTCTCCTGCTGCCTCCCAGCCGGAACCCTCAGTCCTGTCCATCTGCAGCCAGTGCCTAGTCTAACCCTTTCTGTCTTCACCTGCCCAGGTGCCCCCTCTAGCCTGCAGGCACCTCAGAGTTCCTGTACTGCCAGTGAAACACTGCTCCATAGGGGTGTTACTGTCTGGTTTTTTCTGAAGATTAGCAGGCACTTCTTCCAAGGTCGCCCTGGGTGGACTTGAACTTGAACTTCCGAACTTTCAGTTGTATCACCCAGGGACCCCTTCCTATCACTGCTACTGTTGCTAGGTACCACTGAGTCAGCTATGACTCATAGCAACCATATGAACAACCGATCTGAACATTATCCTACCCTGCTCCAGCCTTATCGTCACCAACACTACACCTGAGCCCACTGTTACAGCCACTTCGTCAATCCATCTCGTTGGGGGTCTTCCTCTCTTTTGCTGACCCTCCACCTTTCCCAGAATTTCTTTTTCCAAAGACTCGCTCCTGCTAACAACATACCCAAATATGTGAGATGAGATTTCACCATCTTTGTCTCTAAGGAAAGCCCTGATTGCACTTTCTTCAAGACGTATTTGTTCTTTGGACAGTTCATGTGACATTCAGTACTCTTCTCCAACACCTCAGAAGCATTCAAACACAAGGGGTAGCTACTTGGTGAAGACATGATAGTGGGGACCCAGACACAGAGGGCCCTCCAAATCCATTGAGCTGGGCAAGGACTGGCCCTCCAGATGTTCACCTGGGCAGGAAACCACAGACCCATGAATGTCAAAAGGAAATGCTGAGTGCACTGGGAAACTCGAAAGAGGCAGGTCCAAACAACCGTCCTTAAGATACACCTTAGGAATCAAAGATCACAAATCCACCAGAAGCTTTCTTGGAGAATGAGGAACAATCTCCTCCTGTACCAGTCAGATCCGATCTGATGGTACACACACACAAATAATAAATAAAAAAATTTAAAAAAAGAATCAAAGATCACTTCCTTCTGCTGGTCACTAGGTAATAGCCAGGAGGCCTGGTGGTGCAATGGTTAAAAACGTGACTGATAAGCAAAAGGTCCTTGGTGAGGCCCCAACAGCTGTTCCGTGGGAGAAGTAACTCAATCTGCTCCCAATGAGATTCGAGCCTGGAAATCCTATGGGCCTGCTCTCTGGGTCATTCATGATGTTGGGAATGGATCTGATGGCAGTCAAGAGGGGTTAGCGGGGCCTTGGATCTGTCATGAGACCCCCTTCGTGTAACCTGGGAAGGGATCCCAGAAAGGAAACCACTTACCTCTTTCTGGAGATTTGTGGTTTTGGGTTCATTACTCTGAATGGACTTCTCATCTTCTCTCCTTCTCTTCAGGCTCGTATCCCCCATCTCCCCCAAGATGCCAGTTCTAGAAAGCTGTGAGGAGACGGATGAGCAGGCTCCCGACTCAGCAAACACTTGGCCAGCAGCGTGCTGGGCACCCATCCAGGGCGCTCTCCCAGGGCCTCTGGGGTGTGTGATCTGACTCCTCACGCACCATTTAGGCCAGCACCCCTGTTAATCCTTTACTTGCTCAGTACCAGGAATAAATATTAGTCTTTTAGTCTTATTTCTGTGCAGGCCATGGAAACAGAACCTCATCACACTCTTTCCAACCAGACACGAGTTTGCCTTCTCCCCAGTCCCAGCACCTTCAACTCATCTTTTGACCCCCATGGTCCAACTTGATTTTCTCATGAGTGAAAAAGAAAAAGATTAATGAAATCAAAATGGGTTTCATGGGATCAAGTCTGAGCAAGACATCTTTTTCCTCAAAATTTCTCCTGGAGAAATTGAATAAGCCTGATAGTTCACACACACGATGAGTATTTTTTTCTGACTGAGCATTGTAAGGGGTGGGGGGGGTGGGAAATGGCCAGGGAAAGCCAGGCCAGGTTCCCCCAGGGGAGCCCTGAGAGTGTAGGTCCTCCCACACCAGCCTTACCTTTTTCTTTGACCTTGCTGCTCCAGAGAGGAGATTGCAGACCTGCCGACTCCCTGCCTCTGCCCAGTCCCACCCTAGGAATGGCCATGTCTTGTGCCCAGGAGTGAAGGAAGCCACAGAGTACAGAGGTCAATGAAGGTAATTATTAAACACCTTTTGTTCTGAGCAATAAATAAAGAGTGGACACATCACACCAGAAAACAAGGAGGCGAGGCAAGCTGTCACTCCAAAATCTTTTTTCTTTTGGTTCATTGTGTCTTTGTAAAAATATTTCCCCATTCCCTCCATTCACCCCTATCTGCTGTGAGAAATCTTTCGGCAGTGTGGAAAGAATGTTTTTTTCTTATCTTTTGGAAATAACAGCAGTCAACTTTGGAACCAAGCCTTTTTTTATTGCCCTAAAAGTCTTTGCTTACTGCCAGTCTTGCCAGTCAGATGCCTCCCTTCCCACAAGCAACTTCATTCTAGAATGCCCTGTGTATTCCTGGCTTGCCTGTGTATCTCAGAAAAGGCCTTTCTCCTCACCTGTGACAGTGGCCGGGGACCACCAAAGAGACTGGGAAAAGGGGCACCCTCCATTGCCCCAACAGCCCCTGCCAAAATCTTGCTGTTGAAGTAACTTGGTCCTAGTTGTTGTTGTTAGGTGCCATTGGGTAGACTACAACTCAAAGCAACTCTTTGAACAACAGTTCTGAACGCTGTCTATCCTGTGCCATCCTCACCATCTCCAACACACTTGAGCCCATTGCTGCAGTTACTGTGTCAATCCACCTCATTGAGGGCCTTCCTCTCTTTAGCTGACTCTTCACCTTTCCAAACATGATATACTTCTCCAAGGACCAGCCCCTCTTAACAATATGTCCAAAGCATATGAGGTGAAATTTCACCATCCTTGTTTACAAGGAGCATTCTGGTTTCACTTTCTCCAAGAGAGACCAGTTTGTTCTTTGGCAACCCAATACTCTTCTTCAATATCACAACTCAAAACCATTGATTCTTCTTCTGTAATTCCTTTGAGTCCACCCAAAAACCCCACCACTGTTGAGCTAATATCAACTCCTTCAGGTTTCTTGATGGAGAAAACTGCTCATCTTTTTCTCTCATGGCAGTTGGTGGATTAAAACTTTTGCTTAACAGCCAAGGACATTCCATATCACACCCCTAGGATAACCACACAGAATATCCTCAAATCTGCACTCAAATGTGCCTATTGGACAAGTCTGGGCTCATAGAGGACAAGAAGCTCTGGCCCTTGATAGGCCTCTTCTGCATCTGACTTGGAAGCCACTCCTAACTCTTCTCTGAGATAAATGTTGGAAGCTCTTTTCCAGAGAGGAGAGGGCAGCTGGACACATGGAGAACCCTAAGAATTGTTACAGTGATCACCACAGCTGTAGAGCTGTAGTTTTGTCTTAAATTTTTTAATTTCATAACCAAGTAGGATTCACAACGGGTATGCAAGGATGGTTCAACGTAAGAAAAACAATCAAAAGTCACCTTAATAAAGCAAAAACCAAAAACTACATGATTCTATCAATTTATACAGAAAAGGCCTTTGACAAAATCCAACCTCTTCTTGATTAAAACACTCAACAAGATAGGAATTGATGGGAACTTTCTCAATATAGTGAAAAGTATATACGCAAAATCAAGCCAACATCGTTCTCAATGGAGGAAAAGTAAAGACATTCTCCTGAAAACAGGAACCAGACAAGGATACCCCCTTTCACCACTTCTATTAAATATTTTATTAGAAGTACTTGCTATGGCAATATAACAAGAGAAGGAAATAAGAGGCATCCAGATATGCAAAGAGGTGGTAAAACTCTCACTGTTGTAGATGATATGATAGTGTACACGGAAAACCCCAAGGAATCAAGAAAAAAAAAAACACAACAGCCCTAACCTATTAGACCTAGTAGAGCAATTCAGCGGAGTGGCAGGATGTAAGATCAATATACAAAAATCATTATTATTTCTCTACAGTAACAAAGAAAACCTGGAGAAGGAAACCAAGAAAGCAATACTGTTCACAATAGTTAACCACAATGTGAGGTACTTGGGAATAAACCTAACTAGAGACACAAAATATCTTTATAAAGAAAAAATACAAGACACTACTGTGAGAAACAATAAAAGAACTAAGTGGAAGAATACTCCTTGTTCATGGGTAGGGAAATTCAATATAGTGAAAATGACAATCCTATCAAAAGCAATTTACCTGCTCAACACAATCCCAACACAGATACCAAGTTTATTTTTCAAAGAGATAGAAAAGGCAACAGACAAGTTTATTTGGAGAGGAAAGAGACCCCAAATAAGCAAAGCACTTTTGAAAAAAACTTAAATTAACCTGATCTCAAAACCCACTATATAGCTGTAATAACCAAAACAACATGGTGTTGGTACAATGACAGATACATAGGCAATGAAACAGAATTGAAATGGACTCAGCTATCTATAGACAACTGGTATTCAACAAGGAAATAACACCTATTATATAAGGAAATAACAATGTATTCAACAAATAGTATTGGAGAAGCTGGACTTCTACCTTTACAAAGCTGAAACAGGATCCACATCCCACACCATCCACAAAAATCAATTCAAGGTAGATCAGAGACCTTGGAGTAAAGCCCAAAACCATATAGATCATAAAAGACACCTTGCCTATGGTATAAAGAGGCTGGCAAATATAGCCAGAAATGCAAAACCAAGAGAGGATAACATCAATGAATGCGACATTCTAAAATTCGAGTCCTTGTGTGCATCAAAAGCGTTTCCTGATAGGGTGAGAAGAAAACTAACTGGGAGTAAAGCATTTGACAATGTTATCTCAGACAAGGGTCTCATAATGAAAATTTGCAGACTACTACTGGGCCTCCACAAGAAAAAGTCTGATAACCCAATTACAAGATGGGCAAAAGACATGGAAAGACTTCACAAAGGAAAATATTTGGGTGGCCAACAGATGCATGAAGAAATATGATTTTTAAATCATTGACAATAAGAGAGATGCAAATTAAAACTACAATGAGATATCATCTCACCCCAGTAGCAGTGACAAAGTTTAACAGGATAGCAAACAATAAATGATGGAGAGGGTGTGGAGAGATTGGAACTCTCAATCACTGTTGGTGGAACTGTAAAATGGTACAAACACTCTGGAAGGCAGTTTGGCGTTTCCTCAAAAAGCTGAACATAGAGATTCCATATGAACCAACTATACCACTGCTAGGGCTATAACTCAAGGAAAACAGAGCTGAGGTACAAACAGAGATGTGTACACCAATGTTCATAGCAGCATTATTCATGATAGCAAGAACATAGAAACAACCGAAATGTTCATCAACAAATGACTAGATTGAAAAACTATGGTACTTTCAGACAATGGGATACTATGCAACACTCCAGAGCAATGCTTTTGAAAAATACTATATAACTTTGGAGAGGCTCGAAAGCATTAAACTGAGTGAACTAACTTAGGTGCATAAGAAAACAAATACTGTTTAAGTCCACTATTGTGATAACAGAAGGATAGCCAGTGAGATGTGTATGGTTAATACCAACAGTTTTTAGCTGATGTTTATGAAGAGTAGAGATGAATTGCATTGGGAAAGTCTGCTGTCAGAGACCTTTCCAAAGTACTGAAGAACAACGATGTCAGTCTGGAGACTAAGGTGCGCCTGGGCCATGGTCTTTGCAATTACTTACTATGCATCAGAAAGCTGGACAATGACTAGAGATGACAAAAGGAAAATTGATGCTTTTGAGCCGTGGTGCTGGAGAAGAGTACTGAATATACCATGGGCTGCTAGGAGAACAAACAAATTCATCCTGGAGAGGGTGAAGCCAGGATGCTCCTTAGAGGCAAGGATTCTGAAGCTTCATCTGACATACTTTGGACATGTTTCAAGGCAGGATCAGTCCTTGGAAAGGGATGTCATGCTTGGGAGGATGGAGGGATAGCGCAAGAGAGGAGATCTTCAATGAGGTAAATTGATTCAGTCACTGGGGTAATGGGGATAGGTGGGTCAGAGACGATAAGATTGGCACGGGATAGAACAGGGTTTAGAGTTGTTGCGCATAGGGTCGCTATGAGTCACAGGTGACTTGATGGCACACAACTACAATGGCAACAGTGAGCACTTAGAACTGTGCCACTGATGAAAGGAAATCCTATCTAAAAAGGTGCATTTCTGTGCCAGAGCTATGTTCCTTGGGACTCAGCTGGAAAAGTAGACTCAAGTCTCAAATAATACCTTTTTAACTGTATCCTCTATGTTATAGATGTAGGACCTTACTCTATCATACCTCTGTGAATGTAAAATATCATGTACCTGTTTTAGGTTATGTAATAGTAACATAGTAACCATGCTGTATCAGAGCTGTTTTCTTTCATGAT